ACTACTACTACTACTACTACTGCTGCTGCTATTACTACTACTACTGCTGCTGCGACTGCTGCTACTAGTACTGCTAATACTCCCACTGCCTTTAAAATCTCTATGGAACATACACTTTAATGATTGGACTAAGAATATGTTATTCTTCATTTTAGTAGTTGCTCCTGTGTGCCTCTTACTGTAAAACCACTTATAAAACCCACAGATGGAACCACAGCTGTTTAATCTGCCATCACCCTGTTCTTCTCCAAACCCTGATTTTCTCATATCTCCAGGTTCAGCAAACGTTCTAGTGGCAGCTCTGACCGTAGGACCCTTCACTGAGGACACACTAAACCTCACAACTGAAAATAACAATAAAAATATTAAAAAACCCATAACACCGAGACCTGGAAAAGTACCCAAACCCAACATTACAAAAGTGATCCAAAGAATCCAAGTGGCGCCCTCTACTGGTGCCAAAAGAGATAGTTACCCAACGGTCGAATCTGGGACCAATTTAGAAACAAAGAAAGAAATGAACCTGAAGGAAGGAGACACTGGCACCGGTCTGACCACTCCAGAGCCAAAGCGGACCTGTCTTAACCGAGTTAAAGTCACACACGGAAGATTAATCCAAAAGGACAAAACCAGTGGATGTGCAGAGAGCGAGACAGAAGGAACAGCTGAAAGGTCACCAGGAGCCCAAGGAAGCGAACAAGAACCACCACAAAGCAAAGATTTAGAAATACCTGAAGATCGCAGCTTGGCACAGCCATATCCTCTACAAAGACTTTTGACTGACACTTTTAACAAATTAAACGTAACCACATTTTCCATTCACGTGTCCGAGCCTTCCAATATTGACTCAGAAGCAGAAATAGTCGCTGAACAAATCATAAAAGGGTTAAAACCGATTTCTACAATTAAAAAGTCCATCAGATATTTAGACACTCCCCGCATTACCTCTTTGTCATCTGAAAGGTCACAAATTAAAACAGCTTCTCCAACTTCTGCAACACAAATTTCAGTTCTTACAAATGTGGAGACAAATATAAAAGACGACGATAACTCAAGAAACGAGAATTTGGACGATCCCAGACCGGAAGATGACATGGAATCGCCCAGAGAAGGAAGCACATCTACATATCGCCGAACTCAACCCGGTCGCACAATTGTTCGTCGACCACGACCAAATTTGTGGCATTTAAGGAACAAAACTGGACTTATTACAAGAGATAGCGATGCTTCTTTGCCCTCATCATCTAAAATGACTTCAAGTTCAACAAATACACCATTCCCTGTCACTCAAAAACCATCTTTGAATAGTGACAGTGGAACTGATTTGAACAACGAAGGAGAATCTGAAGGAGCAAAACCAAAGCAAGCGATGGCACCGGGGTTAGAACGTCCAAGTGTACCACATGTGAGACCTTTTCTGAATAAAACTCACCCCAGTAGTAGGTTCTATAGACGCCCGATTCGACTTTTAAACAACAAAACGCAAACGGCAGAGCCACAGGGAGCAGGGGTAGACGGGATGCCCACCACTGTACCTCCAGGAGAGACCGGACCAAACATGCCAAAAGATAGATTCCCTTTAGCCCGAGCAAGTTTTAACCGCTCAAGGCTTGTGTATCCACGGCGACCAAATCAATTTACAGGACCTTTTCAAAACAGGACGCGCTTATTTTTTAGACCACCACAAAGAGGACCAATACGCAAGAACCTGACAGCCGAAAGTGCCCCAAATGGACACCAAAACAGGGACAGCAATAGTGCCATGCAGGATAAGGCTGAGGGAGGAGCAGGGGCTAAAACTGAAGTTTCAGTTTCAGAAAATCCAAATTTAAATGTAGATAATGTTCCAAAATTTGTTGAAAATGCAAAAGATAGGTTACATATTTCAAAGTTGGAAGAAGGCAAAATGGGAGTTGTTAATACTGGACCACAGATTCCAAGCGACAGACATGAACCAGGTAATGAAGAAAGCAAAATCATGAGTCAGACTAATGAGTCTGAACAGCTGAAAGGTTTAAACACAGGGGAAACGGATTTAGGCAAAGACAGCATTGACATTTTTACACAAAGAATTGAAATTGAAAATGATGAAATGGACAAAAATGTAAAAAAGGAAGAGAATGATCCGAACATTTCACAAGATGAGCTAAAAAATTTGGAAAATCGTGGTTCAAGTAACATAGAGGAAGAGGATTTGAGTCTACATTCAGACGATGATAAGGCTGCGAAGGATATTGGTCAAAATAATCCAGAACAACAGCAAACTCAAAATTCAGGCCCAGATTCTCAAGGGACAAACAATTCTGGTTCACCACTTTTTAGAAGACGGTTCAGACCAGGAGTTCAGCCAATGGGAAGGGTGCCACTGCGTTTTCAAGGCAAAATCGCAGCTCGAGATGGCGTCAGTGGTTCAGATCAACCAGAGAGGAGCTACCAAGACGTGGCTGCAACTAGAACACAAGAAGAAACTGAATCCCAAGAAGGTCATGGAATTAAAAATGTTTCTGAAAGTGAAACTAGATTCACCAAAAGATGGAGGTGCATCCACGGGTCAGAGAGGATTACCAAGTCGGACGGTTATTCGACGATTACGACCAAATTTAGATCAATCTGAGAGGATCATCAAAAAAGTGATCACAACAAGAAGACAAAAAGACCCTGATTCCACAGAAGGTCATGGAATTCAGAATGAAAATGAAAAACTAGATTCACCGAAAGAGGGAGGCGCATCCACGGATGAGAGAAGAGGACCCAGTCAGACGGTTATTCCACGATTACGACCAAATTTAGATCCACCGGAGAGGAGCATCAAAAACGTGGTCACAACAAGAGGAGAAGAAGACCCCGATTCTGTAGAAGGTCATGGAAGTCAAAATGAAAAAACAGATTCACCAAAAGAGGGAGGTGCATCCACGGATCAGAGAAGAGGTCCCAGTCAGGCGGTTATTCGACAATTGCGACCAAATTTAGATCAACCAGAGAGAAGCATCAAAAACGCGGTCACAACAAGAGGGGAAGAAGACCCTGATCCCGTAGAAGGTCACGGAATTCAGAATGAAAATGAAAAACTTGATTCACCAAAAGAGGGAGGTGCAGCCACGAATCAGAGACGGGAACCAAGTCGGACAGTTATTCGACGATTACGACCGAATCTGCAACAGTTTCGGAATAAAACCGCGCCCGCCGTGAGGCGTGGTAATGTTTCTTTGCCTCTGTCAAGCAAAATGCATCCAGCTTCGACAGATACGCCCGAGCTATCAGAAGAGAAGCCATCTTTGAGTGACGGAAAAGGAGAAAAACAGTCTCTGAGCGATAATGGACAGGGTGATGACAAAGCTTTAAGAAAAATGAAAGAGTCTGAAGATCCAAGAGGACCGCAGAGGCTGGATGAGGTCTTCTCTGAATCCGATTATAAGCTCACTGTTCTGGGGAAAGGGTCCGGCGTTCTGTCCCGGCTCTCCAAACTGGTCATAAGCACAGGTACAGCAGGGCTAACTACTCTGCCACTCGTGTGAATGTTGTGTCAGCAAACTACATCCTGCTTTTCATTCATAAAATACATGTATCCGTGTTTCCCCCTTTAAAATGTTTCAGCAGCTCCTTTTGTGCGTCTTAGCATCAGTATTGCGTGTAGAATAGCTGCACCTGCAGATATATCGTACAAGCAGCTCTTTCTGTCTTATTGTCTGTGAATCAGGAAGTGCTCTGTTACCATGTTAGTCTTACCCCAGGTGTACACTGACTGATGCAGTGCGGGTTCGGTGCGGTTTTACTGCGACTGACTGCGCTCTCTGCTGCTGTGCGGTCATGATGGGCTGTGGGCAGAGTGCGGAAACTGCACTCCTGAGACAACATATTCACAGGGATTCGCGCTCTGGTTGGGAGTTCACGCGATATATTAGCACAGAGGTCTCCAACTTGTAGCTCAGGAGCTACCAGTAGCCCTCCACTCGCTTCAGAGTAGCTCACCAAGGGATTTCTGAGGCAAATAACTAAAATTTGATTTGATTAAATGCCTATTACCATGTGTCATTCTTATGTCTACCTTTGTGCAATAATAAATGTTTTATAGGCATCAAACTGTACCCCATCTAAGTCTCTAATATTTACTCCATTACTCAGCTAAAATGAGTAGCTCGCTGGCCTTTTCGTTTTGTATGAGTAGCTCACCAGAGAATAAAAGGATTAGCACGTACAAGAAGCTTTTTGGTAAACAACAGCAGCATTTCACACTGCGGCCACTTTCTCGTGCTGTTAGATACTGTGACAATCTACAATAGATAAGTACATTTGCGAAGTACCAGGAGTGTGCAGGGATATTTTATTTTGAAAATACATCAGATGTGTCAGTTCTGTGCTTTGTGGGTGATTTTGTCAGTTTAATGTCAGAGACCGCGGCGCTGTCTGGCAAAATTCTTGTCACAGGCCCGCCGCCTCACCTGCACCCGCACAGCACCCGCACCTGCACCCGCACAGCACCCGCACCTGCACCCGCACCCGTACCGCACCCGTACCGCACCCGCACCTCACTCGCACCATAGAGGTATAAAGTGAATGAATAATGTTCTGTAAAGCGTCTTTGGGGACAGAAAATGTCTATGAAAAGCCCTATATAAATAAAGACTTACTTACACCGAGGTCAGTGTGGCAGGGTGCTACTGATTTGAATGACTTTCTACGTCTTTTACAGTGTTGGGGAGTAACATATTACATGTACTGGAGTTACGTAATCAGAGTACAAATTATGAGTAACTGTATTCAGTTACAGTTACTGTTTCAGTGAGTGGTAATTGGATTACAGTTACTTTGTTGAAATAAATGGATTACATGGAGGTATTTTCCTGTTTTCACATTTTGGGCTATATCTCATTTTTTTAAATTTTATTTTGATAATTCCACTCATTGTCGGAAACCCAAACAGAACACGGCAGTAAGAGCGATGTAAACGTCTTGTTAACGTTGGTGGCGTCTGTCACACAGTGGACGAGGTCATTCATAATCATTCTTGTTGATAATCTGATTCTGCATCCTTTTGAGTAAAAAACATCCAATATTACTGATTTTACTGGGCTGGTGCCTTTATGTTTGTACTGAAAGTGATTTATTATAATTTTTTTAATAAACAGTATGACACTAACAGTAGGTGGACATAATTGAAGGCAGCAATGATCTCATATAAAAAGCATTTCTCTGTCAATAATATTTTGAATCTGATTAAGGAAAGATTGGGCTTTTTATTGTCTTTTAGCAGACAAAACATCTTCGTCTTTGCTTCTCTACAGCAAATACCGGTTCATAGAGAGTTGAGCTCAACAGACAATTTGAAGAGAACAAACAAGAATTTTCAGGATGTGGTTGCTTCATTCTTGTAGTTTTAAGTAATCCAAAGTATTCAGATTACGTTACTCACCTTAATGGATTCCGTTACAAACTACATTTTGGGGTATGTAATCTGTAATCTGTAGGGGAATACATTTTAAAAGGAACCTTCCCAACACTGGTCTTGCGGGACCCACACGTGTCTCGAACCGCACCGCACCTGCAGTCAGTGTACACCAGACATGACCATGACAGCAAAACCTCCACTCTGGTCTTTGTGTGAGAGTTGTGAAAAGCGCTCATGAAATCATTGTGAATAATTAGGGTGCTCTAAATGCATGAGGTAAGTGAGGAATAACTTTGGACCACTGCAAACTCTTTTAACAAACTAGATCTGTTTTTCACGTTTTTTAATGCAGTAAAGTCAGGTGAAGACAGGGTGAACATAGGGGGCAGTATTTTCAGATCATTTATTAAAAGAGCACTATTTAACCTTTCTGATAAATAGATGTTATTGCTTTACCTAGAATGTTATCTGTTTCCATGGAGACGAGCAGGAGACACTACCAGGCAAAGTTACAAGTTAGATCTGCGTAAAGTGACCCCGGCAAGACGAAGAATGCATGTTTTTTTTTTTTTTTTTTTTTTTTTTTTGAGCAAGGCAAAGCAACGAAATCTCCAAAGAGCCAAAGAAATAGCGAACGCCCACAGGAGAAATGTTTCGCGGTGCGTCTTGAAGCGTTCAGGGGGAAACACTGTCATCTGTGCGATTCGTCTAAATGTGCTGACGTAATCGTTTCTTAAGCCTTCATCTCACGTCAAGATCTGAGCTGCTCTTGAAAACTGTACATTCTGAGGGTACAGTTTCTCTCACTGGACCATCGCACTATTTCATTTTGATGTTTGACTGTTTTGTTTTCAGGGCTGATCATTTCTAACCCCCGTGAGTGTGTTTTGGTGCTGCAGGTCTCCGCTTCAGTGTCCATGTTGTATAAGTGTATACTGTATATATGTGTGTGCATATATACACACACACTCCCATAAACATTACATGTGTCCTCATCATCAGTGTCCTGCATCATCGTCTGTCCAGAACTGTGAACATCGTCTCATCTGTTTTGTGTTTTTAAAAGTGTACAAGGGCTTGACAATAACGTTCCACACCAACAGGAGTTATTCCAAAATTCAATTCATATCCACAATTTTAAGCATTGTTTGGACAAAATATACTTTATATCAGATTTTTATCCCAGATGTCCTCCATGTCTCAGCAAACCCAATCCACGTGTCATTCGTTCATTCGTTTTTCAGTATAAAACAAAAAGTGAGAAAATGAAAAAATAATAACAATTATTTGTCTCCAAAACCAAAATGAAAAAACAGATAATGATTTTTTTATTTTTTTTTTCAGTTTTCGATTTTGTGTTTAAATGAAGAATGTAAAAAACAGATAACGACCGTTGGTCGTTTACGTGACTTCTGTGACTGCGATGTCGGACTTTTGCATCGCATACGGACGGAACCAGGACTGATCCAGGTCCGGGACCAGAGGGGACTCCGAGCTTTGACTCCGAGCCTCCGCTGCGTCCGAGCCTCAGCTTCGAGCTCCGGCCCTACTGTGGGCTCTGACCCTCTGGTCTGGTCCCGGTCTCAGTCCCGGTCTGGTCCCGGTCTCAGTCCTGCTCTGGTCCCAGTCTCCGTTCCGGTGTCAGTCCCGGTCTGGTCCCGATCTAGTCCCGGTCTCAGTTCCGGTCTCAGTCCCGGTATGGTCCCCGTTTCAGTTCCGGTCTCAGTCTCAGTCCCAGTCTGGTTTGGGTCTGGTCCCAGACTTGGATCAGTCCTGGTTCAGTCTGTATGCGGCGCAAAAGTTCGACATTGCAGTCACGGAAGTCACGTAAACGGGAAACGGTCCGTTACCCATTTTTTCCATTCTTCATTTAAACACAAAATTGAAAACAGAAAAAAACAAATCGTTATCTGTTTTATCATTTTGGTTTTGGAGACAAATAATGAAGAAAACATTTTTCTGTTTGTTTTGTTTTTTCGTTTTCTTATTTTTGGTTTTATATTGAAAAACAAATGAACGAATGACACACGGATTAAGCCCCATCACAACGATTCAAATGTACAATGTCGTACAACAGTAATACGCACTTGAATAAGAACTGAACCACTAACCTGCTGGTTTGTGGGTGCATACACATTTAACTCCTTGTACATGGTTAGTTAAAATGTTAATTGACCAAGAACTAAAACGACACAAAATGTTGACCTCCAGTTCTTTTTTATTGAGTATAAAATCTACCAGATAAACAGATTACCATGTTTTTCGGATTATAAATTGCTCCAGAGTATAAATCACACCAGCCAAAAATGCATAATGAAGAAGAAAAAAACATATATACACCAGACTATGAGTTGCACTTTTTTGGGGAAATTTATTTTATAAGGAACCAACATTTCATCATGAAAGTCAAGTTGTAGTAATAACAACTGAAGAGAGAACAACAGACTGTTAACGTCACATATTTCACAGTTCTTCAGATAAACTATAAACAACAGAACAGAACAAGTTTAACAAACTCTCCATCTCACTCCAAATCACTAAATCCATTCAATTCTTCATCCTCGGTGTCACTTCTGAACAACGGAGAGTCACTTCCTCTTAGCTGTCGATCCAGTGACTTCAGGAAAGTTTCCTGGTGCATCCTCCCGGTGTCACAAATTTCTCACTCACTCCAAACTTTATTTCTGCTGCTCGATTACCATTTTCGGTTGCAGATTTCACTATTTGCAGCCGGACACAGGCTCTTTCTGCAGGAGACATGCACAGTACAGTGAAGTGACAGTGGTACAGGAGGAACAGGAGCAGCAGATACTCACACACAAGACTAGAACCTCTCTCTGCTGTTAGTGTGAAAATTTTAATATATAAGTTGCAGGATCACCCAAACCATAAAAAAAAAAAAAAAAAAAAAAAAAAAGTGTAACTTATAGTCCGAAAAACACTGTAGTTAAAGGAGCTGTATGACTGGCTGTAGGTGCTGGGGTTTAGGTCATGACCGTTCAGATCAGAGAGAGGCGTTTTAGATTTAAACACACTGGATTTCAGCATTAAACAACCAAAATGAGAGAGTCATGTGATGCTTGTTATGCTTTCTGATTGGATAATTGTCTTGAACCAAAACACCAAACAGACTCTATTCACGCTTACGTCACAAACCAGGAAGACGTTTGGAAACATGTGATTACAACTTCCGACAGACTCTGTTTGCTGTAAAATGTTTGACAAAATCTAGAAAAAAATGAGAAAATGTCCCACTTTTCTTCATGTTCATTTCATTGTAGCATTTGATTATGTTCGTCTGGTTTGTGATGTAAGCATGAGTAGAGCCAATTATAACATGAACAACTTGTCCATAATGTCCAATGCTTTTGTAATTAAAGGGATAGTTCGGATTTTTTGACATAAATCTGTATGTCATCCCCGTGAGCAGTGTCGTGCATCAACACTGACTTACCCCGACAGCGTCCGGTGAACCGAGATACTGGCCGGTTTTGGTGCTGATGAAAGTAGTCCAGCAAGTTGGCTGGGGACTGTATAATAAAGTGTTTTTCTTCTCAAAACAAGATGTGTTCAAAAGAGTGATATATTTGCATCACAAAACCATCGTCGCCTAAAAAGTCAGACCTCATAATTGCTTGGCACTATTTTCTTTCCGTTCGTATCACTGCGCTCTGCCGCCAGGTGACAGCCGCGCCTGGTTCACTTTGTTTACTGCTCAGAATGTTAGTGACAACATGTCTGACTACGACACCGACAATAAAGACTTTGCCTTTACCACAAAGACAAGGGGAGATCTTTATGAACCCGAATATACTGATGAAGAATTTCACCAGATGGAGTTAGAACGAGCAGAGAGAGAGAAGAGAGACAGAGAAGTGATACAAGTTGAAGCTGGAGCCGTGAGAGACCGAGTGAGCGACAATCACCATCACGTCATTTAGAAACTCGTATACAGTGAACATAGAGTCGACACTGTGACTGAAGTATGGACGACTAATAGAAACATGAATCATCCACACGTCCACGTAGCTGCTGCCAACAGTGTACGAGACATTTACAATAGTAATAACAGTCGACTTATAAAGTTATGTTTTGTAGAAGCTTCACTGGTGATATGACACTGAGTGATTTACTGCACACAGAGTTACAGCTGATTCTTGAGCCTGTCGTCTTGTAAACATAGCGGCACTTCTTCGTTCTTACCTGGTTTGGTTTCCACATTGAAGCCAAAGGCAAGAAGTCAAAGTTTCCTCAGCACAAAGTCTGTGACAGGAAAACAGTGACATGTGTGTGGAGATTCAGACAGATTTTTGTTGTTGCAGCCTGGAGAATCAAGAGTTCGCTCCATTTTTTAGATATATTCTTATGTATATTATACAAGTTTATATACTTATGTCTCTAGCTCTCTCGTTAGCTCTCTCACATCACGGCGGTTTGCGCATGTAAACACTGCCGAACAACTGCAGAAAGTGATGGATCCGTACGCTGCTGTCACCTGGCGGCAGCGCGCAGTGATACGAATGGAAAGAAAAGTGCCAAGCGATTATGAGGTCTGACTTTTTTGAGGACGATGGTTTTGTGATGCAAATGTATCACTCTTTTGAACACATCTTGTGTTGAGAAGAAAAATGCTTTATTATACAGTCCCCAGTGAACTTGCTGGACTACTTTTGTCAACACTGAAAACGGCCAGTATCTGGGCTCACCGGACGCTGTCGGGGGTAAGTCAGTGTTGATGCACGACACTGCTCAGGGGGATGACATACAGATACATGCCAAAAAATCCAAACTATCCCTTTAAGAATATATCAGCATTAAAATAGTTATTCAAATTAAAATCTATATTGCTCTATTTTTCAATCTACATTATGTTTCCTCTTCAAAATATAGTTGAGTGTTGTTTCATTCACATGAGTTCATCTTTCAGACTGAAAACACTCTGTTCCACCTTGTGATGTCATCATGTGGTAATACAGGAAGCGCTCCACTGGGTTTTGAAACTGCTTATACCTTCACTAGAATCTTTTGGATCATTTCAGCTTTGGAACTGCCAATCTCTACTGAACTAACGGTAAAAAGAGACGTTAACCTGAACACTACATGACATCACAAGGTGGAAAGGAGTGTTTTGAGCTTTGGGGATGTAGACAGACACATGTGAATGAAGCAAACACAACTCCAGCTCTGTTTTTGAGGAGGTTAACAACATTATAACATGGTTTGAAGCTCACAAGAGTCAGTTTTGAACCTTTTGCCATACAGGAGCTGGAAATCTTCCATACAGTTTGTAAAAAGTGTAATATTAGATTCTAGTCGTGTCCCTTGGTTGTTATTGTCGGGCCCTTCGCAGCGTCTTGTTTTGGAGCTTTTATTACATGCTGGATAAAGGCGCGTGTCCCCCCAGGTCCAGAGCCGCCGACGGACCTGGTGTTTGATCACGTCACCGAGGACTCCGTGACCGTCTCCTGGACCAAACCCAAGTCCAAAGTGTCTGGGTTTAAAGTGACATACACCCACACAGAGGAGGGTAAGACGCTGTACAGAGAGGAGAGGAAGAGAGGAGAAAGAGGAGAGGAGGGAAGAGGAGGAAAAGGAGAGGAGGAGGGGCACTTTAAAAAGAGGAGAGGAGGAGGAGGCGAGGCTAAGAGGAAACTATACAGAGGAGAGGAGGAAGAGAGGAGAAAAAGAGGGACACTTTATAGAGAGGAGAGGAGGAAGAGACGGGGACGAGGAGGAGGAGACGGGAGAGGAAGAGAGGGAGAGGAGATGGAGGGGGGGGAGGGACACTTTACAGAGAAGAGAGGAAGAGGAGTCGAAGGTAAGAGGAAACTATACAGAGAGGAGAGGAGGAGACAGGGGGAAGAGAAGAGGAGAGGAGGAGGAGAGGACACTTTAGAGAAAGAAGAGGAGGAGGAGTTGAGGGTAAGAAGAAACTACACAGAGAGGAGAGGAGGAGGAGACAGGGAAAGGAAAAGAGGGGGAGAGAGGAGAGAAGGAGGAGAAGAAGAGGGGCACTTTATAGAGAGGAGAGAAGGAGGAGACATGGGGAGGAGAGAGAGAGGAGGGGAGAGGAGGAGGAGAGGAGGGTAAGAGGAAACTATACAGAGAGGAGGAGGAGACAGGGGAGGAAAAGAGGAGGGAGAAAGGAGAGGAGGAGGAGAGGGAGAAGAGGAGGAGAGAAGAGGCACTTTACAGAGAGAAGAAGAGGAAGAAAAGGGGGATGAGGAGAGGAGGGGGAGACGGGAGAGGAAGAGAGGGAGAGGAGGACGGGAAGAGGAGGGACACTTTACAGAAAGAAGAGGAGGAGGAGTTCAGGGTAAGAGGAAACTGAAACTATACAGAGAGGAGAGGAGGAGACAGGGGGAAGAGAAGAGGAGAGGAGGAGGAGAGGACACTTTAGAGAAAGAAGAGGAGGAGGAGTTGAGGGTAAGAAGAAACTACACAGAAGACAGATAGAGGAGGAAGCGAAGAGGAGGAGAGGAGAGGAGCAGTGGAGGAATAGAGGAAAGGGAGAGGAAACTTTGCAGAGAGGAGGAGGAGGAGAGGGTCAGAGAAACAGAGGAGAGAGTCAGAGAAGCAGGGGATGGAGAGGAGAGGGTCAGAGGATGGAGAGGAGAGGGTCAGAGGATGGAGAGGAGAGGGTCAGAGGATGGGGAGGAGAGGGTCAGAGGATGGGGAGGAGAGGGTCAGAGGATGGGGAGGAGAGGGTCAGAGGATGGAGAGGAGAGGGTCAGAGAAGCAGAGGATGGGGAGGAGAGGGTCAGAGGATGGAGAGGAGAGGGTCAGAGGATGGGGAGGAGAGGGTCAGAGGATGGAGAGGAGAGGGTCAGATGTGGCAGAGGATTCACGTGCTTCTCTTGTTGGCACAGGAGAGCCGTACTCTGTGTCTCTGGACCAGGGGAACTCCTCCATAGATCTGACTCGTCTCTCTCCCGGCTCCACGTACGAGGTCAGCATTCTGTCGGTGCTCGGTCTGGACGAGAGTGACCCCATCTCTGGAACCTTCCACACCCGTGAGCGCACACATCTCACACAGTCAGACACGTTTATAGATTAAAAAAAAAAAAAAACACAAGTGATTTAAACTAAACTAACCTAAAGATGTAAAAAAATCCTGCTCCATTTTATACTCCACTTTATGTGATGAACCTGAACCTGTGTGTGCAGTACCGGATTCTCCCACAGACCTGAGGGCAGTGAACGTCACAGACACTGGGGCTCTGCTGCTGTGGCGCCCCGCCCTGGCCGCTGTGGAGAAGTACACCATCGTCTATGGGTCAGGGACAGGTCTGTGCACTAATGTTCTTTGACTGTTCTTGAGTGGAAGCTGTTGAATGTCGGGGGTGTATAACATAGTCTCGTCTTGAGCACTAAGAGCTGGAGCTGGACCTCAGACCTCAGAGCACGTGAGGGAGTAAATCTGGATGAGGTCTGAGTCGTACTGTGGGGCCAGAACATTCAAAGCTTAAAAACATACAATAAAATCTTAAAATCTATTCTAACACGAACTGGAAGCCATTGCACGCTAAAATCAGGGTAATGTGCTCACATTTTTTGGTTCCAGTTAAAAGTCATACAGAAGAATTTTGGAGGCTGATGCCAGAGAAAAGTGTGTTTCATCTAAAGGAGAGGAGATAAAAAGAAAAAAAAGTGTGACCTGTTCAAATGATTTAAACCATTAAAAAAAATTATTTTAGATAAACGCCCCAAATGATTAAAGCCAAATTTCACAATCACATTTACTTGTTTGTCAAATTTAAAACCACTGTCCATAGTGACGCTGAGGCTGGTGTCAGACTGTTTCACGTGCTGTTTCAGTGAGTCAGTGAGTGTTTTGGTATCACTCAATGTCCTCAGTTTTGCCTTCATTAACTCTTTCCCCCGTGGACGCCTACTTGGAACAACTCATACATATTAGTATGTGTGGGTTGTAATGCCCCCCACCTCCACAGCCTCTGTTTACATGTGAAAAACCGAGCCATTTGTAATGGTCGTCAAATCACGTCTTTAGTGAAACAGCGGAGGTGTCAAAAGACGTCATTAAGGAAACGAGGGAGGGTCGTCAAATGTCGTCTTCATGGGGGAAAGAGTTAAGACTTAAAAAGTTGTGGGCCAACCAATACTTGACATCACTAAGACACTGAAGGAGAGGTATCAGGGGGCAGAAGCAAGTTGTTTTTGTTTTTGTTTTTTTAAGTGGCAGGTAAATTTCTTCATCTGCTTAGAAGTGATAGTAAATGCCATGATTTTTTTGTCTTTTTTTTATTCACTCTGTAAGATTACAGATGTGATCTAGCCCAAGAAACCCGTAGCACCTGTGGAGTCAACAAAAAAACAAAGAAAAGGAACTAAATTCTTCACCTTTTTTAAATTGGCCACATCATGAGTAGATCTGACAGCATGTCCCCATAACAGACAACAGGCAACCAACACAGTGACAAAAAAATTCTCATTATATAGTCTGGCCTAAACCACTAAGCCCCAGACAGGTAAATTTGAACATTTAAAAATGACTAAATATATTATTACACTATTTTCAACTATTTACATTTCATAAACTAATATTGCACATTGTTACATTAGAAAGATCAGCTTTTATGTATAGATACATAGTTAAAACCATTTCTGCAATTAAACCTCCCCTCCCCCAGCAGCACTTGGCAGAGTCCAAATCAGGACGAATTAGTGCCTCCACCAATCACCTCAAAGGAAAGGAAAAGAGGAGTGAAACAAGGAACATGGCATCAAATGAATATAACTGAAAACTTGAAGGTGTACACCTGATGAGTGAGGGTGTGGTCTACAGCTCCCTCACACACTCGGTGGGAGGAGGTACAGAGTGAAAAGAACAGGTGCAAGACTTGAACCCTGGGGGACTCCACAGTTAAGGGGGCGGTGGACGAAGTGCAGTTACATTTGTTTCCTTCACATGTTTGAGTAACCCTTTATAATTAGTCTGTCAAAATGCTCAAAATGCTCTGTTCCACCTTGTGATGTCATGTTACGTTTCAAGTTAACAGCTCCTTTTACCTTTAGTTCTGTAGTGATCGGACATTTTAGAGCTGGAATTATCCATATGATTCTAGTGAAGTTGTATGGAGTTGCATTACAACTTAATGTCATCACAAGGTGTAATGGTGAAATATGGGTCCCTTTTGTCTGAATTGCATTGAATGTACTGAAGCAGCTGAGTGGAGTGTGTGTTGTGTTCAGACTCCTGAGGTGAGAGTCACAGTTTCTGGAAACACCGCAGAAGAACAGCTGAATGGTCTGCAGCCCTCCACCACCTACACTGTCACCATCAGCAGTGAACTGGACTCCCGGAAGAGCAAAGAGGCCAGCACCAGCTTCACCACCACAGGTCAGACACACCGACCTCTCCACTGCCCAAGAAATGGTTTTATTTAGTGAAATTCTCAAGCTTAAATTCTAAGTATCTTCCTAAGGTAAAAGTAACTGCTCTATGCTCTTTGCCTTGTGCTCTTTGCCTGTGCCCTCTTCTCTTTGCCCTGTGCCCTCTTGTCTTTTGCCCTGTGCCCTCTTCTCTTTTCCCTGTGCCCTCTTCTCTTTGCCCTGTGCCCTCTTCTCTTTGCCCTGTGCCCTCTTCTCTTTGCCCTGTGCCCTCTTCTCTTTGCTCTGTGCCCTCTTCTCTTTGCCCTGTACCCTTTGCCCTGTGCCCTCTACTCTTTGCCCTGTACCCTTTGCCCTGTGCCCTCTACTCTTTGCTCTGTGCCCTCTTCTCTTTGCCCTGTGCCCTCTACCCTTTGCCCTGTGCCCTCTACTCTTTGCTCTGTGCCCTATGCCCTGTACTCTGTGCCCTCTGCTACTTTCTTGGCCAGCTCCCGTCAGTCGGTGGCTTGCCCATAGTTGTTTGAAAGCTGTCTGTATCATCCCTCAGTTGCCCAGATCATAGATTGTAATTATAAATGGACGTGCTGCCCTTGACTGGCTTCATTTGACTGGAGCCGGTCGCTATGGGTGACTTCACTCTCCCTCAGTTCTTTTGACGGTCGACGGGTGTGATCCACCTGGACGACTGAGGATCCCACAGACATTTCTCTCTGTGGACAAACCCGTGTGGTCTCTGTCTGGATGAACTCTTTTCTCATCTTCAGGATCAGACGGGGCCGGAGACCTCAGAGCCACCAACGTGACGCCCCGCACCGCCACGCTGTCATGGAAACCACCGTCCAGACCTGTGACGGGCTACAAACTCATCTATGAGACCGAGGGACAGAAAAAGGTCGGGCATAAATGGTTTGATTAATGATTAGTGTTATTAATGATTACTTCATTTAAAGGTGCACTATGTCACTTTTCTTGTGGGAGGTCTTTCTCTTTAATATTTATTTTCTTAAAGCAGAACCATTATGCAAAAATTACTTTTCAGAGCTTTTCACAATCTTTTTCACAATCATTCATTCATTCGTTTTTCAAAATAAAACCAAAAATAAAACAACAATTTTCTTCATTATTTGTCTCCAAAAAAAAAAAAAAAAATCCTTTTTGCAGTTTTTTGTTGTTTAAATGAATAATGGAAAAAAAATGGAAACAGACTGTTTCCTGTTTCCGTGACTTAAACCGCAATGCTGGACTGAACCAGGACTGAACCAAGACTCGACCCTGGTCCTAGTCCTGGTCTAGTCCAGGTCTCAGTCTTGATCACCCGACAGTCTACGCAGACACACCTCCAGACCCGACACTCAGTCCTGGTTCAGTCCTCATTTAGTCCTGGTTTAGATCTGTTTTAGTCCTGGTTCAGTCCTGGTTTAGATCTGTTTTAGTCCTGGCTTAGTCCTGGTTTAGACCTGGTTTAGACCTGGTTTAGTATTGTTTTAGTTCTAGATCAGTCCTGGTTTAGTCCTGGGTTAGACTTGGTTTATTCCTGGTTCAGTCTGTATGTGGCACAAAGTTTAAGTCACGAAAACAGTGACTTAAACTTAATCATTACTTAAAACTTAAAATGAATCATTATTCATTTGGAGACAAATAATGAAGACAATTTTTTTTTTTCTTTTCTTATTTTTGGTTTTATTTTGAAAAATGAATGAACAAATGATACACAGATATTTCATCTTGTTATAGTTGTTTCCCCTCATCATTTACACTCTCAAACTTGTATATGGAGTGATTTGAACAGTTTGAGTCATCTTGAACCGCTTATTTTCAACAGCCTGTTTTCATAGTCCCTGGTACATGTTCAATTTTATCGATTTACATGAAGATGAAATGAAAAGTGAAATGAAATGAAAAGAACCTGCGTGACAGCGTGATGTGCAGCTTTCTATATCCTATACCGGCGACACCAGCTCCCACTGGGCACTGCAGTTTTCTCAGTTTGTTACTAAAGAACAATCATCACAGCTACAGGTAAAAACGAACTTACTATGAAAACAGGAAAACACCAGAGTGAATATGGATGGATTTAATCGAATGGTATTTTATTTCTTAAGGCCACCACACACTACAGCAGAATTTGTCCGATTTTGGCTGCTATTTCTTCTTCCCGAGTTCGGGAAGGCGTGACCTGACTTTTTGTCTTTGTGTGTGATTTTCAGATTCAGATTCAGAAAACTTTATTGATCCCATAGGGCAATTCATTTGCAGCATATCAGAGCAGTTCTCACTTCTCACACACAAACACACACAGTGGGTCAGTCCGTGTCAGTCCACCAGTGGAACTCAGTGACAATCTACAAATTACAGTGCACAACATTCAGAAAACTGTACCCTTAGAATTTAACAATTTAACAGAAGAGGGTACAAAAGAATTTGAGAACCAGTAAGTTTTTGACATAAAACTGACGCCCTGAAGGTATCAGGATAAAATCAGGAGCCAGAGGATGGACGGGCTGAGCCAGGAGACCCTTGGCTTTGCTCAGCACTCGCTCCTCCCACAGAGAGTGCAGCTCCCTCAGTTTGACCCCTGTGATTTTTGAGCAGGTTTTAACAATGTTCTGCAGTTTGTTTTTATCCTTCACGGACAAGGATTGAAACCAGCAAATAAAAGAAAAACAAAGCAGACTTTTGATAAAAGAAGAATAAAAATGGCTGAGAATCATTTTGTTTACATTAAAAGAGTTCAGTTTTCTCAACAGATATATTCTTTGCTGCCCTCGTTTGATGATGCTTTCAGTATTTCAGTTTATTGTCCATCACGGTGCCCAGATACTATTTCAACATCAACACCGTGGATGACACTAACACTGTGTGAAGGTGCACGTCTAAAATCAATCACCATGTCCTTAGTTTTGGCAGTGTTCAAATCCAGTTGTCCTCACAACACTGGACAAACTGCTCCAGCGCAGGACCAGGATTTCCCTCAGATCCTGAAAGCAGCGACACCGGGACCGTGTCATCCGAATATTTGATTAGGAATCTGTTTTCCTCTGAGAATCTGCATCTGTTCTTGTACAGAATAAAAAGGAGATTTTGAAGCTTCTGTGCTCCTTGTGTGCGTGTGTCATGTATCAGATCGTAACCATCAAACATCAGCAACGCTACAGTAACAGATGATAAAACAGAGCGTCAGGGGCAGAGGAGTGACGGACACAGAGAAGCAAGATACAAACTTGGAATAGAGCGAAAATAAAAACTTTATTCCTGATCTCTTCTGAAGTGGTATATTTAAAGTGCTGCTTCTCATCCACATTCTCCATAGCATATGTCCTCTGCAAATAATGAGTTCCCTGTGAGTTTCAGGATCGATTTTAAAGTTATTTTACTGTTTTTTAAATGTCTTAATGGTCTTGGGCCTTCTTATCGTTCAGAATTGCTTTTACCTTACGAACCCTCGTGGACCCTGCGCTCCTCCGGCAGCAGCTCCTGGTCATTCCCAAAGTCAGGACACACACTCACGGAGAGGAGGCGTCTTTCCAATACTACAGCCCCCGTCTATGGACCTGCAGTCGGAGGAGCTCAGGGCCAAAGAGAACGTTCATGTTTTTAAGAGCAGGCTCAAGACCCACATTTTTAGTTTAGCTTTTGATTGAAATCTTATACTTTTACTTGTTTCTAGTGTACATATTTATTATATTTATTTACTTTAGGCATATTTTTAGGATTTACAGTGTTTCCTCTGTAGGAGCCTCTGCATCAGGAGTGGAGGTCGGCTGTGGCTTCTGGGTCTGTCCCGTGGGCTCCTGGTGGAGGGATGGTGCTTAGGCTTCATCTCTCCCCTGGACCCTGTGGTGGTTCCTGGTGGTGGTGGACGTCTCTCTGCTCCTGGTGTAGACGGCTCCTCTGATGGTGCTTTCTCAACTGGTTCGCCTGTATTCAGCCTCACATCTTACTATGTGTCGTTTTATGTATTTTACCGTGTTTGTGTGTGTGTGTGTGTGTGTGTGTTTGGGTTGTCTGGTTGTGTGGGGTCGGGCAGGCGTGTGTATTGGTGGGTGGATGGAAATGTGGGATTGTTTTTAATCACTGTAAAGCACTTTGTGTTACAGTTTTGTATGAAAAGCACTTTATAAATAAAGTTTGATTTGATTTGAAATAATGATCCCAGTCCACAAAACTGCACTATTAATCTAGTTTGAAGTGTTCTTTAAAAGTAAAAAGGTGAGAGTAGTGCCTCACGTGTGTCTGTTTACATCCACACTGCGCACGGATCGAGGTGAAGCTGCAGATTAGTGACAGCGACTCTACTTCCTGTGGACTTTATCTCCAATCCTTTATGCTTTTAAAAATCCTGAATCTGAAGTATTGCACCACATTTCACACATAATAACTCACAGATCTTTTGAAAACTTAAGAGTCTCAGAGTGAGTGGTTTTACTGCTGACAGGAAATGCGCTCACAACTTTATATCCTGCTGCAGTCTTGGCGATCAGAGGTTTTAAGTCTCGTAAGATTCTCCTCGTCTCTGTGACTTGCGCTTTTTGTCGCATGCTTAAAAACAGTTTAAGACCGAAAAATCCTGTAGTGTTTGGCGGATATTGTTGAATTTCTTTCTTTTTTTTTTTTTTTTTTGTACATATGATTTCATCTTTTCTTGTTTACATTTCTGCTTAAATTGAGCAGCTTTTAGACAGTTTTTTGATTTGTTGACCAAAGAGTTCCACTGCTTCACACCAGCATAAAAAATCCACATGTTTAAGTGTAGTTTTGACAAAAGGCAGTTTACAGTCGACTTTCCTTCTGCTACTGGCACTATTCACAGTAAAAAGATTTTGCAGATCACATGGCAGCAGATAATGTTTTCCTTTGTGCGTAATGAATAATGACTGTAAAACTATGAAATCATTTAGTTTGAATAGGCCAGACTTCAGAAATCGCCCTGCGTGATGTGTCTGTTTGTGTTGTTGTGTCCAGGAAGTGTTGGTGGCTCCTGCAGTCACCCAGTTAAACCTGACGAAGCTGTTCCCGGGGGCAGAGTATTCTGTGGAGCTGCAGGCTCAGGGCGGAGGAGGAGAGATTCTGTTTACCACATTCACCACGGGTAACTCCAGATCACATGCAGTGCACTAGCACTACTCCAGCTCTGTGGCTAAATCATAGACTGCATAAACCGACATGACTAACCTGCTAAACTGCTCTGCTCCAAAAATGAAGTGAGCATGGCTGTGATTCAGCACCATCGACTGCAGCTCCAATTCAGTTTTTCCATTTCACTTTCTCTGTAAAAGCTGCTGTCATGCTCATCATTTTAGTATTAAAATGTTCATTTTCACTTGCTGTACATGCTGCTGATTTTGCAATTTTTTCCATAAATCAAAATCTGAACTAGGGATGGGATCAATCGATAATTGATCATTAAGAATTTCATCGATTATGTTAATTTTAATCGACAAACTGAATGTAGGTTGCTGTGTGTAGCGTGACCAACCAGGGGTCTGTACATGTGTCTCTCTGCACTCAGAAGGAGCGAGACACAAACAGTGGGTCAGTCTGCAACGTGCCGAAGCACAAATGTGTATTTAATGATGATTTGTACAAGAAATTCCACGCTTTCCGTTGCGTTCGGGACAAGTGTGAGTTCATGTGCACAGTGAACAAAGCAGCACATATGTTTCTGTGTCCAGTGGGAAAAAGTTTTGTCAGGTGAGAGTCGTGCAGTGTGGATGACGAGTCTCTACCTCCCGTACGGTGTCCTGGTTTTGACAAACGCAAATATGGTCACACTAACCTGTATTCACCTGAGTCATGTCTTTTAATCCGACAGAAGTTGAACCACATCAGCGACACAAGAGCTGTAGTTTTATCTTCGCTTAGTTTATTCAAATTTTTGATGCGGTTTTAAGTTTTGTTTCTGTGAGAGTTGCGCAAAACTGAATTAAACACATTATAATGTCAAACGGGCTGATGTGGCTCTAGAGTAGTTAAGATTTATATGTCGTAAAGTTGAATTTATTTATGCAGATTAGTAGAGCAGATAGTAATAATAATGATGATCATTTTAATATAAAAATGTTAATGATTAATTGATAATCGATCGTTAATTCTTCCGACGATCGATTAAGAAAATTTCATTGAATGCCCATCCCTAAACTGAACAGACCAGTCAGGCGCTCTCTTTCACTGAGGTCGCTCCCACTACTACTACTACTACTACTACTTACTAACAAGTTTGATTGACATTAACTTCTAGATGAATAAACTTTGTCCAGTTAACAAATTGAAGTTCTCCTTTGCCATGGATTCTGTCTGGACGACTGAGGGATTTTTCACACATTAACTTCTTGGGTTCTTTTTAAAGACAATATAGTAAGAGGTATAAGGAGATTCTAGCCATCTAAATAAAATAAAAATAAATAGACCTCCTAGTGTATTGTCTTTAAAAAGAGCCCAAGAAGCAGAGGATTTTCCAAGGAAGGAGAAATACAGTAACTGTTCTTTTTTAAATATTCTGCATGCGTCACACCTTCATCTGCTTCAGTCGCGCTACTGCTAGAGCGAATCTCTAAGAATTACCTTAGTCCGGCTTCGCTCCTTTTCCCCTTTTCTTCTTCTTTCAGCGACCTCAAAAACGGACTTTCTTTTGCTGTGAACTGGTCGTGGATTCTTGTCGCCATTGCAACAAACTTTGTACTAACTGAAAGGAAGCTACAATTGGAAAAAGCCACGAAGCCTGCTGCGTTGGTTTGAGTAAATGACATCTTGCGTATGTGGAATGCGTTTGAGGTGAATGTAAATCATGTAATCCCAGTGGGCCGATGAATCAGTTACACTAGGAATGTAGAAACGTAGGGAGTTTGATTGACAAGCTAACAGCGTTATCTATTATCTAATGTTTATCTGGCCCCACTACGTCCACAGTTGATGGATTTTCATTCTTCTTTCTTTTTTTTTTCCTTTTTGGTCATCATAATTACAAGGCTGCTGCATCTGTATAAGACTAGTTTGAACTTTGATTGATAATTTGAAACAAACAAACAAACAGAAAAATCCTGCATACAACCTTTAATGTACCTAAGAAGACAAAATGAATGTGACACATTTGTAAGTTTTGTTGTTTTGTCATCCCAGGCTCCCTGCGATTCCCCTTCCCCTCGGACTGCTCTCAGGAACAGCTGAATGGTCTCAGAGTCTCCAGCCTGGTGGACATTTTCCCTCTGGGGCGACAGGGGCCAGCACTGAGCGTATGGTGTGACATGGAGACTGATGGAGGAGGGTGGACGGTAACAGAATGTTTAATTTTATTTCACCTCAGCTAAACAAGCTAAGATTGACTGGCATGTGTAATGCTCTGAGGTCATAAATAAAGATAGATAAAGGTGCACCTTTAAGGAAAAAAAAAAAAAGCAATACAGCATAACATGAAGAAGAGGAAGAAGAGGGAGATAGAGAGAGAGGAAAAAAAAAAAAAAAGAAAGAAAAAGAAACAACCCCCAGATCATCACATGGAAGAATGTGAGACCAGGACAAAAAAAAAAAAAAAAAAAAAAAAAAAAAAAAAAACACCTCCGCGACATCAGCACATAATCAAACACAGTACCACATGATAACACTCGACCCTCTGAAGACAGGGGAGGGGAGTGGGGTTGAAGTTACAGGCTTAACACTGTACAATACAAACACATATACAATATATAATATTCAATACAAAACACAATACAACACAGGGCGTGGGATGTGGGGTGGACCTGGAGAGTCGCTCCGCCTGGCATCGTCCCAGACAGAGTCAACATCTGCACGTGTCAGTGGAACTCGAGCAAAGAAATGCAAGAGAGTCTCCCTGCCACGTCCTTCCAGGGAAGTTATTGTTCCAGCAGCGGCCTTGTCTGAAGCCAGTGCTTGGATGAGGGAGGCCAAAAGCAGATAAGTTTCAGGCTGTTTGGGTTTGGTGCGAGTAGCTGCATTTCAATTTCCTCTCTCTGTCTCTCTTTGTCCATCTTGATCTCCGTGTCTATGCGTTTGTCTTTGCAGGGTGCGAGCTTCTCCATGATGTTATCCATATTTAAAACCATGTTTAAAACCACAGTTCCAAATAATGCGGTTTATAGCCACAGTCTGAGTGCTGACAGCTCTGTCCGTTTCAATCAACGCGGGCAGCCTAGAGGGGCTTCGAACCGTTGCCTCGGTATTGAGTTTTCTAAAAAATCAGGGCCATGCCTAATCCAGTCAACAAAAGCCTATAATTATAGTTCTAAATATGTAGATGTCTCTATGTCCTCCCTGGAAAAGACACATGATGCACCACTTCTCCCAACTGTCCCAGCAGGGCATTCAGGTTCCCCCAAACCCAAGTTCCTCGTGGCAATTGCCTTGAGAGACCAGTTGATCATATCCATGATTAATTTTATGTTTGGAAGAGCAGGAGATAAAAATGTGACCACCTTCATCAAGAGCCAGCTGTGGAAAAGGCGAGACTTCCAGTAATATCTCGACCTCACCATACCAGATTACCATAGTTCATATATACCAGTCACATCAATGACTCCAAAAACTAGTTCTAAAGTACCAAGTCCAAAAGCAGAATCAGCACAGACATCTTTCCCTGGCACAGATGCACAGAGTGCTTCTCACAGCTCTTCTGACAAACAGGAAAGGTCTAGTTCAGTTTCAAAGCTGCAGGTACACACACGTGTGCAAACAAGGCTCAGGGCAGGACCTCCAGCCCCTCAGTCTGGTCCCTTCAGACTGAAAGATTCACATGTGACAGGTTTCATCAAAAACAAAGAATGCTTCCCAATTTCTCAAGATTTTAGACTGAACCATTCCTTTGTATGTTAAGTTGTCTTTATAAATGATTAACAGTTCACAATTCACACACTTTATGAATACAACTCTACAATAAAACTTTTATTTTTTTTTTTTTTCTGACCTGTTGACATCCTTTTCTTTTGTGTTTTTGAGTGTTATCTTGTGTGATCCTGCAGGTGTAACAGTTTACCTCTGTGTAACCCATTGTTATTAGGTCCAGTGATCTGGTGGTGGTCCAGTCTTTGAGTTTTTAAGTCTCACAGGGGACCTTGCAGGTGTTCCAGAGGAGGAGAGATGAATAATCTTGTCCTGTTGCCATCACACAATGTCTTAAGATGTTCAGTATTCATTTTTAGGAATTTTCCAGTGACCCTGCAGGTTTCCAGCTGATATCTTTAAACCCTTTTATTATCATGTTCTGTGATCGTTTTTGAGTGTTCTGTGTGTGGTGAGACCCTGCAGGTGACCAGTCGGTGTCTTTTAAACCCGCTTTTGTAATGTTTTGTGATAGTTTTTGAGTGTTCTGTGTGTGGTGAGACCCTGCAGGTGTCCAGTTGGTCTTTTTTAAACCCGCTTTTGTAATGTTTTGTGATAGTTTTTGAGTGTTCTGTGTGTGTGACCCTGCAGGTGTTCCAGAGGAGGAGAGATGGCTCTGTGGACTTCTTCAGGTCGTGGAAAGAGTACGTCCAGGGCTTCGGAGACCCCAGCGGAGAGTTCTGGCTCGGTCAGACAATTTTTACTTGGTCATTCTGCTGTCTTCACACATATGCACTGAAATCAGGGAGGGTCTAATATGGATGGTTGAGATGATACGATATTCGATATCCGTCTCACTGCTGTGACCAACAACCAATAATTGCCGATACTGATACTAAAATGTAAAAAAAAAGAAGGTTCCCAATTCTGGTGTTGAAGTGCCTTTGACTCTTTTCTCTAAAACACATTTAACATCATTAGATTTAAGATTTTATAGAAATTCTTTCTAGTTTTCTCATTTTGGTGAAGTTTAATTAATGATTTTATTTCCTGGTTGGACATGGGCAACAGTTGTAAAACAGAATCCCACTGCCTATATCATCAACATGAAAACTCTGCTCAAAATGCAGAGAGTTTTTCTGACAGTTTAAACAAAATAAAATAAAGGTGTTTTAATTTATTTGTATCAGTCTAATCATAACTACTGTGTCATTTAGATCCCATTTACACTGAAACGAGTCTGCATATCACCATATCACTGTATAAACAATCAGTTTCAAGCCTTCCCTGTCCACACAGCTTTGAGCATATTTGTTTACTTTTTACAGAAACAAAACTTAAAACCACATTCCTCATTTACATGAACTAAGCCTAAAAAAAACAAAAAAAACACTTGCTCCTTGTGCGCCGCTGTGGTTCAGCTTCTGTCGAACTAAAGGACACGACTCAGTGGAATATGAGTGTTCTGTCTGTGACAGAGGGATGTTCTGCTGATGGTGAGTCTGTTCTGTGTTTCTGTCGTGTTGGAGATGGTTCATGTGAAACTTTTCAGAGATTATATGTCTGCAGGTCATACACACAGACACACGTTTATATGAATGGACATGTTCTAGCCTTTTAGCGTTTTGGCGGTGAATTAGCTACTTCTGCACTCAGAAGGAGCAAGACACAAACAGTCGGTCAGTCTGTACAAGACTTGTACAAGAAATTCCACGCTTTCCGTCGCGTTCGGGACAAGTGTGAGTCCATGTGCACAGTGTATAAAGCAGCACATATGTTTCGGTGTCCAGTGGGAAAAAGCTTTGCCAGGTGAGAGTCGCGCAATGTCGATGACGACACCTCCCACCCCCCGTACGGTGTCCTGGTTTTGACAAACGCAAATATGGTCACACTAACCTGTATTCCACTGAGTCGTTTCGCATCAGCACAAGAGCTGTTTTTTTCTTCACTTAGTTTATGCGAATTAGCGATGCGGTTTTAAGGTTTGTTTCTGTGAGAGTTGCGCAAATCTGCATTAAACACATTATAATGTCAAACGAGCTGATGTGGCTCTAGAGTGGTTACGGTTTATATATCGTAAAGTTGAATTTATTTATGCAGATTAGTAGTGCAGATAGTAATAATAATGATGATCATTTTAATATAAAAAAAAACTTTAATGATTAATCAATAATCAATCATTAATTCTCCCGACGATCAATTAAGAAAATTGAATCGAATGCCCATCCCTAGTGTGGACGGGGCCTTAGATAAGTTTTGGCCCTTGTTAATACTATGGTTGCTAGGTAACAGTTATGGAATTTCCTCTACATATGCCATCTGCTACCTGTTCCCAACCAGGAAGTAAAAGCATAAACTTCACCAGAAAATAAACATTTGAAAAAAATAGTTTTGACAATGTTAACAATGTTTTAGGGAAATGAGTCATCTAAACTGTCTTAAGCACTTGAAGTTGCTTATTTAAAAGGAGGACCATGCAGGATTCTCTGTCAAAATAACGCTTTGTCAAACCCGTGGCTGTATCTGCCATAACCTGATGCCAAGAGAGAAAACCTCTTCACAGCAGTGGCTTTCACTGTCCTGGTGTCTCTATAAAAGCCTGTGCCATTCTTGCGCCCACACTCGGTCTGTTCCCGCTCTGTCCTGGGGCTGTTCTGGGGCTGTGCTGGGCTCAGAGCATGCCCCACATAGCCCAATCTCACTTTCTTTATTTATTTTTATTGGCTCATTTTGCAGCACTACAAAACAAAAACAAAACATAGACCGCAACTACATGGATCATGACAGAAAGTGACCAAGCTAAAGCAAAAGTACCAAACCCATTAAACAATGACATAAATCCAAGAAAGAAAGCAGCATAAGAACAACAAGTTTGCATTTACAACTGGACCCGGTCAAGCAGAAGTAAACAACAAGGCCAAAAATTCAAGTTAATGCATCTGATATAAAAATGTATTGAACAGATACATATGTACTCTAGTTTATGAAACTGTTGACCTTTTTTCTGGACCATTTTTGGTTCTAAAGTTCCATACGTTTTAAACAGACCATGTATGAAACATGGAACAAAAATTATTTCCCAAATTTCAAAGACCTGCAAATCATGTCAATAAATGTATGTATTTCATCATATCTTGTGAACTGTTGATGAAGGTACATGATTTTTTTTTTTTTTTTTTTTTTTTTTTTAGTATTTAAAATTATAAAAATTAGCTTGGAAGGACTGACATATTTTATAGAAATAGTTTCCTTTAATTTTGAAGTAATATTAAAGTAAAGAAAAAAGCAACAAATGATGCAATATCCTGCACCTTCTACTTGTTTGTACAATTTTCCCTCCGTTATTTTTCCCTCCGTTACCATGACCTTTCTTAATAAAAAATCTCATGACTCAAAAAGTAAGAGGTTTTTCAACCTAATCTTGTACCATATGGTAGAAAACTATATGAAGCAAATATTCAAACCAGTTTGTTAAGGATATGGAAGTGAGAACCAAGAGTTATCACTGTTTGGATTTATTGCCCAAAAAGTGCTGCATATTTCATTCCCTCCATTACCGACATGAGTTTTAAAAAATTTTTGTCAACAACTTGAAAGAATATCACAGGTTTAACTTGACCCTGTTGGAGTGTAACTCTTTCCTACATTCTGATACTTGACTTATTTCAATAGTCCCTCTAGTTTCTGAATAAGAGACATTTGAATGTCAAAAATCTGCCCCTGTTTCCCTCCGTTACCACTTGACTGGACCCAACTTCACTTACTTATAAAATATAAATTAAAACAAACATTTAATGCATAATTCATTCATTCAAGATCTCAAGAACATAATGCTTTATACTTTTTTTTTCTTGTACATTGTTGGACTTTTTTTTTTTTTTTTTTATCATAACTCAGGTTGTTCCATAAACTAACCTCTAACAGAAATACAATCACTTTTTTTTTCTTTTAAGATGCCATTTTTGATTTTGTTTTTTATTTTATTTTAGATTTTATTAGATTTTATTTCGTTTATTTATGGTCATACAAACTAATAATAATGATAATGAAGGCATTTTTTAAATTTAATAATTTCTGATTGTACAAAATAAAAGATAACGTTAAAGAAGATGATAAAGAAAGGCATGTGTTTAGTTAATAGTCTCTAATAGTCTCCTTTTTAGACTGGTGCAAGCATTGTTTGTTGAAATTCTTTTTTTTCCCACACAAGTATCTTAGCAACGTAGATTATTGCAAAACATTTGGATACTTCCTGAGCCCTGGGTTACACCACAGGTAATATATCTCCGTGTCCATTAATACTCCCACAACAACCAGCTGCCTGTTGTGTAAATATGCCTCGAAAGGGCCCATCTTTTATGATCTATGTTATAATGTTGTTTCCTCATCAAAGGCAGGTCTGGAGTTGTGTTTTGTTTCATTCACACATGTTTAACACACAAACCCTGCACATTTAGGCTCTTTTCTTCTCTCTAACAGAAAACACTCTGCTCCACCTTGTGATGTTATGCCATGTCATGTCATATAGGAAGTCCCCACTGTGTTTTTAAACTCCATACACCTTCACTCGTATCATGTGGATGATTTCAGCCCTGGCCAGAGTTGTGTAATAGGACCTTGGAGCACAGTGGGGGATTTCCAGCTTCTTAGTAAAATGCGAGACAGCGCTGACGTGGGGACGCTGACCCTCAGCTCCTCACCCCCTCAGCTCCTGTTGGCTTCTGGATGGTTTGGCTGAAGATGTTTCCTGCAGGACTTTAACACTCTGCTCCTCGGAGACAGTTCAAATATTTTGCTCAGTCTTGGCTCCAGTTTTCATGTGTTTTGGTCAGAGTCCCGTCTAAACTGTTTACCGGAGGAGACAGCTTCAGTGGCTCTGTGTGCTCTGTGTGCTCTGTGTGCTCTGTGTGCTCTGTGTGCTCTGTGTGCTCTGTGTGCTCTGTGTGCTCTGTGTGGAGTTTGCAGAGCAGGTAGTACTCACTCACATTTACTGAGTTACATTTACTTGAGTAACTTTTTAAAGAAACTGGCAGCATACTTTTACTCCAATTTGAATAATATTTTGAATTTTGACTGAAGTAACAGTACTCTTACTTGAGTAAAAGGGAATAATAATCATAATCATAATAATGTCCATAATAATGTATTTTCCAAACACTCAAAGTCCCTTTACATCAGGAGTGTCAAACTCATTTTGGTCCAGGGGTCGTATCCAACCCACTTTGATCCCAAAGGGACCGGATCAGAAAACTCATGACGTATAAACCCCAAAAATAACAACAAGTTCAAATATTTGTGCAGAGAAACACAAATCTATTACAGACTTTTTTTTAAATTGATGAACTCTTTCTTTTACAAAATATTATAATATTATGAACAACCTGAAACTTGAAACACAATGTTTTAACATGAACTTGTTTGCAAATAGGAATAAGTCCATTTTTCTTGGTAAATCCTGCACTGGGCTCCACTTTTCTCATTTTGGACATTTTGTTGATGAGGGTGTCACGGTCAACAGTCAAAACGATCGTCCTTTAAAAGCGTTTGGAAAGAGATAAGTCTTCATTTGTGCTGCTCTGGTGGGAGGGGCCACGTACAGAGATGCTGGAGATGCTGCTGTGATAAACACCACAGAAAATTTACAAGATTTTAATAGAAAATAGAATTCAAATAATGTTGTAGAAAATCAGCCGAGGGCCAGATTAAAGGTCTTGGAGGGCCAGATCCAGCCCCCGGGCCGTATGTTAGACCCCTGCTTTATAGTTTGGAGCATTTTTCATTCATTCCATACCCAGTGTTGTTAAACTACTATTGTAGCCAGATCTGCCCTGGGACAGACTTGAAGTGAGGTTATTATATGAGGCGATGTGGGTGAAGTGTCTTCCCTGATCCGTAAGACCACAATGACAGTTTGTAGCACTGTGGTCTCCCGTCCAAGTCCTAACCAGGCCCAGCTCTGCTTAGCTTCTGACATCTGAAGAGATCAGGCTTTGACAAGGAGGTTTGGCCACATTGTGTTTCCTGTTCCCACTGCGAGAGAGTCTAAAGTGATAAAAGCTTTATATGACAAGCTGAAATGATTTGAACATTTGTGTTTCTTGCAGCGCTGCTTCAGATCTGAGCTAATTTTTGTGTCTGCCCTTTGAAAATAAAAGTGAAAAAATTGCATAGCACACTCAGATGGCCGATGTCCAAAAGCTTTTATTTTTATTTATAGATAACGTCTTGGCCAAAAAGCCTTCATCAGATCATTTTTCTTGTTTTGGACCACAGTATTTAAAGCAAGAAAAATAATCTGATGAAGACTTTTTTTTGCCAAAACGTTGTTTAAAAATTCAATTAAAAGCTTTTGGACATCGGCCATCTGAGCTTGCTATGAATTAATCATTGCATTTATTATGTAATCACAGTTGCAGTACTTGTGTTAGATACCAAAGCACTTCACAGTTCTTTGACTCCACACTTGGTGGTGGTAAACTGCTCTTGTAGCCACATATTGAAATATTCAAAGAAGCAAGGCTGCCAGTCTGCACCATCACTAACACACACACACACACACACACACACACACACACACAGACTCCACTTTCATACTAGGCAGTGTGGGAGCAGTGTCTTGCCTAAGGACACAACAACAGTTTTTTTTTTTTTTTTTGACTGGCACCCCACTCTGGGACCTGATTTTCCCAGTGTCTTCCATCCAAGTCCTGACCAGACCAGCCTGCAGAGCTTCTGACATCTGATGGGATCAGGCTTTAACAAGCTGTTACGGCAGTTATGTTTTTTCACTTTTATTTTACTGTTCCTTGCATTCTGACCTCTACGAGAACTTTGGTGAGATTTTCTGTTTCATTTGTTCTTTGAAAATACCAGATTTTGTGACTTATTTAATGTTTGATCCTTCGAATTACATTCACTTCAAATCATAAATCAGATATTACATCCTGACAGTTACTCTTTAATTTCCTCTTACTGAAGCAGTAGTTTCCCCAAATATGTTTTTACTTTACTTGACTAATTTCTACTACTTTGCACTTCTAGTTGAGTAATTTTGAAATAATCTTACTTGAGTTAAATTTTTCACTACTCTCTACAGCCTCTGGTACTTTGTGTGTAGTACTGTGTGTAGTACTGTGTGTAGTACTGTGTGTAGTACTGTGTGTAGTATTCCCCGTGCCTCCTCGGGCTGTGGCCCCGCCCTCACATCGGACAGCAGATGTTTTCAGAGGAATACTTGTGCGTTTATGTCACTTCTGTTGATGCAAAACATAACACAGAGTCATAAATAATACTCTTTTATTGTTCATTGATCTTCCATCTCCAGAGCAGGAATTTAAAATGTCATTTCAACATGTTTATACCAGATGCCCTTCCAGTTCGGCCCCTCTTTTTTTTTTTTTTTTTTCAATCAGTTGTTATATTTTCTTTGCATTGGTTTGTGCTCCACTACAGCCAATGCATACTGCCTTTGTGCCCTTAAGCAAGACACTTCACCCATCATATCACTTTACATTATGTTCATTCTTTCTGCACATTCTTTGGTGGAAGAATCAGAATAAGAAATAGACTGCGTTCAGACTGCAGCCTGAAGTGACCCAAATCAGATTTTTTGGCCCCTATGTTCCTGTATCTGATCTTTTAATGACAGTCTGAACCACACAGATCCGATTTTTTCAAATGTGACCCAGGACACTTGGATATGTGCTCCTGAAACTGATACATATCTGATCTTTTGATGTGTGACTTCAGTGTGAACGGCCAAAGCGCATTCATCCACCTACACGTTGTCAACAAGACACAAAGGTCACTATTTTGCGCTGAAGTCGGCGAAAATTGTTAATGAACTCCATGTCACTGAAGTGAAGTACTGGAGCCAGAACATGAACAACTTACATGTTTTAAGGAGGAGAAGGAGAAGGACGAGGTTTTTGGTCGTGGTGTTTTGTGGGGCAATGGCAGCGACGTCCGTTGAAAGGAACGTGTGGATGTGGAGACGTAGCCAAGAGTGGTGAGTGGTGATGTGCTTCACTTCAGTGACACGGAGTTCATTAACAATTTTCACCTACTTGACATTTGTGTCTTGTTGATAACGTGTAGGTGGATGAATGCGCTTTGGCCGTTCAGACTGAAGTCACACATCAAAAGATCAGATATGTATCGGTTTCAGGAGCACATATCCAAGTGTCCTGGGTCACATTTGAAAAAATCGGATCTGTGTCGTTTAGAACGTCATTAAAAGATCAGATACAGGTCACATAGGGGTCAAAAAATCAGATTTGGGTCACTTCAGGCTGCAGTCTGAATGCAGGAAATCGTTGCTAACACAGTGTTGAAGGAGAAAAATTCCATGTTCATATCTGGTTTGCTGTAGTGATGTCTTTATTGGTTGGAAGTTCCATGTTGTAAGCAGGTAGATGGTGAGTGTCTGTGGGGCAAGATGACCATGAGCAAAGGTATAGCGACCATTTTATCCACAAAGAGGTGGGTAAAGTCTGCAGATTAACATTTGGAGGAATTTCACAGCAATAACAAAGCCCCCTCATAAACTCCCTTTTGGTAAAACAGTGGTTATTATTTCAAAAGATTAACATTTCAAGTACAGCTGAGATAAGGAAGGACAGCAGCAGGGGGCAACAGGTGAAGACCCCAGAGGCCTTTGATGGTGTCCTGGGTAAAGTCTTTAAATGTAAAACACATCACATGTATTCGTTAACCAGATTGATACTAAAACCAGAGAATCATTACTTTTCTTCCACAACAGAATGTCTGGCTTTTCACTGATTGGCTGGTGCCCAAACTTGCATTTTCTGGATTTTTGCAAACTGTTTACTGATTTCTGATTCCTGACCTTGTCGCTGGAAAGAATGAACTTGAGCAGAGGCACTAGGTGGCGTCAGTCTGGCTAGTCATCTACAAACATCTTCTAAAATGTGTGGGATTCTTAGTTAGTTTAAAGTTCAGGTTTAAATCTTCGCTTGTGAAATAGTTTACAAT